AAATTGAGGCTTAATGTTGTTTTTGGGTCTGTCACATTTCGTTTTGAAAATGGTGATTCTCTTCATATATATTTCAGAATTACACTTTATTGTGAAATTCGATCAACAAAAACAAACATTCAATAGAAAGTTCACATAAACCACTGTACACTGCCATAAGATCATTATTATTTGAAAGATCATCATAATCAGCGTAATTGCACTTATCATAATTACCAGGTGCTCAGTAAAACAAAAACACAATCATTCACTTCTTCCTAGATTGAAGAAACGAAAGGGGGAGGGTGTATGCATTAATTTAGAAAAAAAGTGAAGTGTCTAAAAAATATTTTAAACAAAAATGTAAATTTCAGAATAAAATTTGAATTGAATTTATTATTGTTGTTATTGTTAATAAAAATAAATCTGATTGTACATATATAAAAATAAATAGAAATGTTTCCAACAAACTAGTACTACGACTCTGCACTTCATTTTATGACGCTTGATTTTTTTTCAGCTTTTTGTTTAACCGAAAATATTTAAATTGTAATTTGTTTATTTGGTTTTATTTCGAACGTATGTATTTTCATACATATTTCAGTCATAAATCTTTAATTGCTTGTTTTACGGAATGCTAATTAATAATACATTTATTTTTGTATTTGTGTTCTAATAATTGAAATTGTGAGTTGAAGCTGCTTAACGAATATTTTTATTTTAAAGTGTGACGTAGTACAGTTTTTTTTTTTTAATGTAGACTTTACACAGTTGCCTGAGACATATTCAAATTTGCATATAAAATATGTTGTATTGAATAAATTATAAAGTTTTATATTTAAGATTAGTGATTTTTAAATGATTTATTTCAAGCTAGTTTCTCTTAATACGTTAATATAGTTTAAATTTATGACAGTCGCTCTATTAAAGAAAGCTACCCTCTGGAACGTATAAGTCTATTTACTTCTTCTTGAGTGATTCAATGTTAAATTTGTCTGGAAATTGTTTGTTCATTCATTTAATTACTTCCTGTTGACCTAGTTCTAGTTCAGTTCTAGTTCTGTTCTAGTTCAGTTCTAGTTCTGTTCTAGTTCAGTTCTAGTTCAGTTCTAGTTCAGTTCTAGTTCAGTTCAAGTTCAGTTCTAGATCAGCTCTAGTTCAGTTCTTGGTTAGTTCTTGTTCAGTTCTAGTTCAGTTCTAGTTCAGTTCTAGTTCAGTTCTAGTTCTAGTTCAGTTCTAGTTCAGTTCTAGTTCAGTTCTAGTTCAGTTCTAGTTCAGTTCTAGTTCAGTTCTAGTTCAGTTCTAGTTCAGTTCTAGTTCAGTTCTAGTTCAGTTCTAGTTCAGTTCTAGTTCAGTTCTAGTTCAGTTCTAGTTCAGTTCTAGTTCAGTTCTAGTTCAGTTCTAGTTCAGTTCTAGTTCAGTTCTAGTTCAGTTCTAGTTCAGTTCTAGTTCAGTTCTAGTTCAGTTCTAGTTCAGTTCTAGTTCAGTTCTAGTTCAGTTCTAGTTCAGTTCAGTTCTAGTTCAGTTCTAGTTCAGTTCAGTTCAGTTCTAGTTCAGTTCTAGTTCAGTTCTAGTTCAGTTCTAGTTCAGTTCTAGTTCAGTTCTAGTTCAGTTCTAGTTCAGTTCTAGTTCAGTTCTAGTTCAGTTCTAGTTCAGTTCTAGTTCAGTTCAGTTCAGTTCTAGTTCAGTTCTAGTTCAGTTCTAGTTCAGTTCTAGTTCAGTTCTAGTTCAGTTCTAGTTCAGTTCTAGTTCAGTTCTAGTTCAGTTCTAGTTCAGTTCTAGTTCAGTTCTAGTTCAGTTCTAGTTCAGTTCTAGTTCAGTTCTAGTTCAGTTCTAGTTCAGTTCTAGTTCAGTTCTAGTTCAGTTCTAGTTCAGTTCTAGTTCAGTTCTAGTTCAGTTCTAGTTCAGTTCTAGTTCAGTTCTAGTTCAGTTCTAGTTCAGTTCTAGTTCAGTTCTAGTTCAGTTCTAGTTCAGTTCTAGTTCAGTTCTAGTTCAGTTCTAGTTCAGTTCTAGTTCAGTTCTAGTTCAGTTCTAGTTCAGTTCAGTTCTAGTTCAGTTCTAGTTCAGTTCTAGTTCAGTTCTAGTTCAGTTCTCAGTTCAGTTCTAGTTCAATTCCAGTTCAGTTCTAGTTCAATTCTAGTTCAGTTCTAGTTCAGTTCTAGTTCAGTTCTAGTTCAGTTCTAGTTCAGTTCTAGTTCAGTTCTAGTTCAGTTCTAGTTCAGTTCTAGTTCAGTTCTAGTTCAGTTCTAGTTCAGTTCTAGTTCAGTTCTAAGTTCAGTTCTAGTTCAGTTCTAGTTCAGTTCTAGTTCAGTTCTAGTTCAGTTCTAGTTCAGTTCTAGTTCAGTTCTAGTTCAGTTCTAGTTCAGTTCTAGTTCAGTTCTAGTTCAGTTCTAGTTCAGTTCTAGTTCAGTTCTAGTTCAGTTCTAGTTCAGTTCTAGTTCAGTTCTAGTTCAGTTCTAGTTCAGTTCTAGTTCAGTTCTAGTTCAGTTCTAGTTCAGTTCTAGTTCAGTTCTAGTTCAGTTCTAGTTCAGTTCTAGTTCAGTCTAGTTCAGTTCTAGTTCAGTTCTAGTTCAGTTCTAGTTCAGTTCTAGTTCAGTTCTAGTTCAGTTCTAGTTCAGTTCTAGTTCAGTTCTAGTTCAGTTCTAGTTCAGTTCTAGTTCAGTTCTAGTTCAGTTCTAGTTCAGTTCTAGTTCAGTTCTAGTTCAGTTCTAGTTCAGTTCTAGTTCAGTTCTAGTTCAGTTCTAGTTCAGTTCTAGTTCAGTTCTAGTTCAGTTCTAGTTCAGTTCTAGTTCAGTTCTAGTTCAGTTCTAGTTCAGTTCTAGTTCAGTTCTAGTTCAGTTCTAGTTCAGTTCTAGTTCAGTTCTAGTTCAGTTCTAGTTCAGTTCTAGTTCAGTTCTAGTTCAGTTCTAGTTCAGTTCTAGTTCAGTTCTAGTTCAGTTCTAGTTCAGTTCTAGTTCAGTTCTAGTTCAGTTCTAGTTCAGTTCTAGTTCAGTTCTAGTTCAGTTCTAGTTCAGTTCTAGTTCAGTTCTAGTTCAGTTCTAGTTCAGTTCTAGTTCAGTTCTAGTTCAGTTCTAGTTCAGTTCTAGTTCAGTTCTAGTTCAGTTCTAGTTCAGTTCTAGTTCAGTTCTAGTTCAGTTCTAGTTCAGTTCTAGTTCAGTTCTAGTTCAGTTCTAGTTCAGTTCTAGTTCAGTTCTAGTTCAGTTCTAGTTCAGTTCTAGTTCAGTTCTAGTTCAGTTCTAGTTCAGTTCTAGTCAGTTCTAGTTCAGTTCTAGTTCAGTTCTAGTTCAGTTCTAGTTCAGTTCTAGTTCAGTTCTAGTTCAGTTCTAGTTCAGTTCTAGTTCAGTTCTAGTTCAGTTCTAGTTCAGTTCTAGTTCAGTTCTAGTCAGTTCTAGTTCAGTTCTAGTTCAGTTCTAGTTCAGTTCTAGTTCAGTTCTAGTTCAGTTCTAGTTCAGTTCTAGTTCAGTTCTAGTTCAGTTCTAGTTCAGTTCTAGTTCAGTTCTAGTTCAGTTCTAGTTCAGTTCTAGTTCAGTTCTAGTTCAGTTCTAGTTCAGTTCTAGTTCAGTTCTAGTTCAGTTCTAGTTCAGTTCTAGTTCAGTTCTAGTTCAGTTCTAGTTCTAGTTCAGTTCTAGTTCAATTCTAGTTCAGTTCTAGTTCAGTTCTAGTTCAGTTCTAGTTCAGTTCTAGTTCAGTTCTAGTTCAGTTCTAGTTCAGTTCTAGTTCAGTTCTAGTTCAGTTCTAGGTCAGTTCTAGTTCAGTAAAAACAATGTGAGGAATTGGTTTTTTCTCAATACTCAATACTTCTCAACTAGAATTTTGCACTAATATTTCTCCTCTATTTATTTTAGAATTTTAGAAGACCGTGATCCTGAATATCAGAAACTTGCTGTCAAAGGTCTAATTGGCAGTTCAAAGCGTGTACTCTCTGGTACTAAAAATGAAGAAAAGATTCAATCCATCAAAGAAGGTGTTAAAATACTAGAAGATTTCCTAGAGAAATTCGAAACTGAAAATCTCATTAAAAACAACAGAGCCTATTTGGCATACAATGTTATAGAACAATTACCCCAGCCAGAAGATGCTTTACAGGCAGAATTCCTTAAAGCCTATGGTGGTCCTAAGGCTAAGGGTAATTACAAACATTTGCGCACTATGTTCCCTGCCGATGATGACTCCACTTCGTGGGATATTATACGTAATAGAAATATTGCCAAATTGTTAGCAAAACTTAAGGAAGAAGATGCTAAACTGTTCGATGATGCTGGTAAACCCTCCGAAATACACATGCAATTGATACACTGGGCCTATAGTCCACAACCGGATAAGGTTAAAAGTTATGTGGGTACATTGAAAAAGGCTACCCCACCACCAGAACCCAAAAAGGCAGAGAAACGTAAATGTGAAGAATCAGCTTCTTCTGGTTCCGGTTCCGGTTCGGCTTCGGCTTCGGAAGGTAGTGAGAAGGAAGAAGAGAATGGTGAATCTCCTGAAAAGAAGGCTAAGACTTCTTAAATGTAATTAATGTATTTTGCGTTCCATACCAAGCCATTTATTATAGTAGTACTTACAAATAAATAGTTTTAATTTAAAAAAGAAATTTAAGTTAAAAGGGTATTTTCACAAAAGATTTAGAGATAAATCAAAGGGTCTTTAATATGCACTAAACAAAGTGTTTAACCTTTAACTTTGTACAACACTCCGAAATTTATTTGTGTCGGGTGTTTAAACAAAAAGAAAAATTGTTGTAATAAAATTCATTTAAGGTATTCAAGTCCTAAAGGTTTGTTGAAATAAAAGTTAGAAAACTGAAACCTTTAAGTCCTTTAAATTGTATTTGTATCTCGTATATATTGTTCAGTTATATTTTTTATGAATATTGTTTAATTAACTACTTATGAGTGTGTTTACATACATATGTATAATAAATATATACAATAATACATTTTCTACAATTACAAATACAACACTATTACAAATCGTTATCATATCAATCAATTAACATCTGTTTTATTTTATTTCCTCAATTAAAATTTACCATAAAACAATTGTTCATGATGTTTTGCTCCCGTCACATGGCTGAGCGCATTTCTTTCTCTGTTGGCTTCCTCCTCTAATGAGGAGCTTGCTGTTATAGTATCTCTTGTTATAAGACTAGAATCTACGTTTGTTTTACCGGCTGAGTTGGGTGAACCTAGTAAATGATGATGATGGTGATGACTGAGATGTTGCTGTTGATGATGTGGAAGCTGTTGATGATCATTTTTAGCGGCTGTGGCAGTATTACCCAAATGTCCATACGCCATATTGAAAAGGGCCTCGGGATCGCAAACAAAACGATATACATAACGTTCTCCGTTTACTTTTTGCATAATGCCTTTTTCATAATAATAACGTAGACTACGCGATAATTTGTCGTAATTCATGGCGGGTCGATTTTTCTGTATACCCCAACGCCGTGCCACCTCCTCGGGTTCGATGAGTTTAAACTCCATCCCACGCCCAGTCCAGGCGATGCAACTCGAGCTGTGAGGAAGACAAAGTTTTAACTAGATATTTAGAGAATGAAAGTTGGAAAAATATCCGGCGAACTTTTTCCAGTTCAATTCTAGTTCTAATCTACTTCTCGTTTAGTTATTGTTCAGTTCTAGTTCAGTTCTGGTTTAGTTATAGTTCAGTTCTAGTTCAGTTCTAGTTCAGTTCTAGTTCAGTTCTAGTTCTGTTCTAGTTCTGTTCTAGTTCTGTTCTAGTTCTGTTCTAGTTCTGTTCTAGTTCTGTTCTAGTTCTGTTCTAGTTCTGTTCTAGTTCTGTTCTAGTTCTGTTCTAGTTCTGTTCTAGTTCTGTTCTAGTTCAGTTCTAGTTCTGTTCTAGTTCTGTTCTAGTTCTGTTCTAGTTCTGTTCTAGTTCTGTTCTAGTTCTGTTCTAGTTCTGTTCTAGTTCTGTTCTAGTTCTGTTCTAGTTCTGTTCTAGTTCTGTTCTAGTTCTGTTCTAGTTCTGTTCTAGTTCTGTTCTAGTTCTGTTCTAGTTCTGTTCTAGTTCTGTTCTAGTTCTGTTCTAGTTCTGTTCTAGTTCTGTTCTAGTTCTGTTCTAGTTCTGTTCTAGTTCTGTTCTAGTTCTGTTCTAGTTCTGTTCTAGTTCTGTTCTAGTTCTGTTCTAGTTCTGTTCTAGTTCTGTTCTAATTCAGTTTTAGTACTGTTCTAGTTCAGTTTCATATCAGGTTTGGCTTCCATTACTTACTTCGTGGTCGGTTCGTCCAGTAAAGCCACCAAAAATTGCCACAGTTGTAGAGAACCTCTGCGCTGACTAACTGTATGACTTGTCGTAATATTATTATTCGAGGCATATAAACTTTCTAATTTGAAATCTGTATCTGTAGAAGACACCGCTGTTGAGGAATCCACACCACTGCCAGGCCTCAGAGTATAAGTAGATGATATGGCGGAATTATAAGGATTTTCATATTTGATATCAACTTCAGTTGTAGTGGATACCGGAGTCAATGCCAATGATGGGGTTAATTCTCCCGCAGACCTTATACCATACGCTGTTGGCGTCTGACCATTGTATTGATGATGATAGACGGAAGGCGAATGACTGAACTTGAAGGCCGATGAGTGAGGACTTAAATGAGCTTGATGATGGTGAAGATTTGTGTTTTGAGCATGTTGATGATGATGATGGTGAGCGAGGTGATGAGGATGTGGATGAGTGGTGTGAGGATGATGATTGCTTAGATGCGTAGTGGTAGAATCGGGATGTTCACTTTTGGTATTATGATAATGTTGGCCAAACTGTAGGGATGACGAAACTCCGTTGTTGTTACAAAAATTGGGATCTGGAATAGAGTAACAGAAAGAGTTGAATTTTGTTTTTAAATTGATTTCAAATAAAAAAAAATTAATTTTCAAAATTATAAAGCGTTAAATCTGTGTCAGATTAGGCAAATATTTTCAGTATATTTAATTCTGAGATTTTTTACAGAGGAAACAATAATACTTTATACAAAACTATGCTGCTTAATTGGGATGAAAATAGATTTCATTTTAAAAAGTCCTTGAGACTTAGTTTGTTAGAATCCTAGTCATATTCTATGTTTGTTTATGAAACTCTTTACTTTGTTTACACTCATATCTAATAATGTTGTTCTTGTTTGTTTATCTATTATTGTTGTTATTCACACATCAGCCCTTTTATGTATATTTTGTTGTTTTTAATGTTAAACATGTTGATATTTACCGCCTGTAACAACTCAGCATTAATATCCTTAAAGCTAAATGACTAAAAACAAATAGCAACAAAATAGCAATGGATATAAATTAAATATAAACTTAATTTTAATTCCCACAACATTAACATCCATTTAACAACAAAAAATCTACTACAACAACACCAGCAGAAAAGGATGATGTATCCTTTTCATCAACGCACAGTGGGGCAGAATGGAAATTTTTTGGAAATAAATCTGGCATTTCTAAACGGCTGATCCGATCGGGATAAAATTTGGCGTGAGCGTAGCCAAGGAGTATTCGAGTTTAAGTTTTGAAGATGAACCCTGCAGATGCCCCAGGGACGGCGCTGTGGCGGCTCAAAGTAGGGTACCTACGACATGTAAAATTTTTAAACTCGTGCCATTTTTTTGTTTTTCACCCAAATACAAAGATTTTTATATTTTGTGAAAGCGCTCGAATGAATCGAAAGTGAATGAATCCCGATCGGATCAGCCGTTTAGAAATGCCAGATTTATTTCCAAAAAATTTCCATTCTGCCCCACTGTGCAACGTCAATGTTCGCTTTTTTCTCTTTGCCCGTAAAATGTAATAAAATTCACTCAACATAGTTTAAATTATTCAACAGTCTACCTGCATAATCTATGAACAAGTGTTGAGAGTGGAAAAGTGACTGAATGGAGAAAACAACAACAACAATTATTAAAATACAACAATAACAACTATATTAACATCATTGATATTGTTGCTACTGCTTTAAAAGGGGGAGTTTATAAGGATAATTTCCCCTTCTCTTTTTGAACACAGAAAATCCTCTTTTTTGTGTTTTTTGTTTTGTTTTTGCAAATGAAACTGAAAATAAGGTTAAATATTGCGTAAACATTCCCATAGGATTGTAAACAATATACACAAAAAATAAGTGTGTGAGTGCTTTCGAATGAGAGACGCGTTGGTGGGGGTTTTGATAAACAAGGGGTTGTTAACTACATATCTACTGTATGAATTGCATGTTGGATGAATAGAATTAAATGTGGGTTTGCTGCTGTTGCGACTACTGTCTGGTTTATAAAAACATACAATTATTTGTTAATTTTTGAAGGGACAGTAGTTCGAAGATTAAAAATAAGAAAAGACAAATTTCAACTAAAAATTTTAAGTTCCATTTAAAGTGTGCACTGATTATCGTTTTAAAGATTGGATATTATTAGGATTCGAATTCCTAGACTCGATGATAAAGTAAAGTTGGTTGGGCGAAACTAGACTATATACTGGACTATAAATTAGACTATAGACTAGACTATTGTATAGACTGTAGACTAGACTATAGACTAGACTATATACTGGACTATAAATTAGACTATAGACTAGACTATTGTATAGACTGTAGATTAGACTATAGACTAGACTATAGACTAGACTATAGACTAGACTATAGACTAGACTATAGACTAGACTATAGACTAAACTATAGACTAGACTATAGACTAGACTATAGACTAGACTATAGACTAGACTATAGACTAGACTATAGACTAAACTATAGACTAGACTATATACTAGACTATAGACTAGACTATAGACTAGACTATAGACTAAACTATAGACTAGACTATAGACTGGACTAGACTAGACTATAGACTAGACTATAGACTAGACTAGACTAGACTATAGACTAGACTAGACTATAGACTAGACTATAGACTAGACTATAGACTAGACTATAGACTAGACTATAGACTAGACTATAGACTAGACTATAGACTAGACTATAGACTACACTATAGACTAGACTGTAGACTAGCCTATAGACTAGACTATAGACTAGACTATAGACTAGACTATAGACTAGACTATAGACTAGACTATAGACTAGACTATAGACTAGACTATAGACTAGACTATAGACTAGACTATAGACTAGACTATAGACTAGACTATAGACTAGACTATAGACTAGACTATAGACTAGACTATAGACTAGACTATAGACTAGACTATAGACTAGACTATAGACTAGACTATAGACTAGACTATAGACTAGACTATAGACTAGACTATAGACTAGACTATAGACTAGACTATAGACTAGACTATAGACTAGACTATAGACTAGACTATAGACTAGACTATAGACTAGACTATAGACTAGACTATAGACTAGACTACTAGACTAGACGATAGACTAGTACTATAGACTAGACTATAGACTAGGACTATAGACTCGACTATAGACTAGACTATAGACGAGACGAGAGACCTAGGACTATAGACTAGACTATAGATAGACTATAGACTAGGACTATAGACTAGACTATAGACTAGACTATAGACAGGACTAATAAGACTAACTATGACTAGCTATAGATAGGACTATAGACTAACTATAGACTAGACTATAGACTAGACTATAGACTACTATAGACTAGACTATAGACCTAGACTATAGACTAGACTATATACTAGACTATAGACTAGACTATGACAGACTATAGACTAGACTATAGACTAGACTATAGACTAGACTATATACTAGACTATAGACTAGACTATAGACTAGACTATAGACTGACTATAGACTAGACTATAGACTATACTAAGACCTATACTTATAGACTAGACTATAGACAGAACTATAACTAGACTATAGACTAGACTATCACTAGACTATGACTAGACTATAGACTAGACTATAGACTAGATTATAGACTAAACTATAGACTGTACTATAGAACTAAGACTATAGACTAGACCTGCAGACTAGCCTTTTTCTGTAGTACAAAGAGTATATTTATAACATTGACCCATAAATATACATATGTATGTGTGTATTTTTATTTACACTAAAAAATGTTTTTCTATCTATGTACCACTGTATCACTAGCTGATGTGAGTTTTATTACAAAGATATTTCAAAATATATAAATCTCCATATCCTTACATCATACAGAAGAAAATTTATTTTGTTGTTAAATTTTACATATTTTAACAATAAGACACTTTATTTAACATTGAATTTTTAAACAATTTTGTTTCTTTTTTACTTCATCTAAAAAAATAAGATTTGATTATCATCTGTTGCTTGTTAGATAATAAATAGATTTTAAAGATTGATTTATCTCGGTATTTTTTTGACTCCATTGACTCGGTATTATTGCATTAGTATGCAAGTAGGTAGTTAGTGGTTTATTATGACAACAACACACTCTATCCTGTTCAATAAAGTTGCTGATGAATCAATAAGACGTTCCTGTGTCGGATGGGGGGAAGATTTTTGGCATACAGTATAATAATCATAACCTGTCAATTGGATTAGTTTAAGAAATAAATTGTGCGCGATATTTTCATTTAATTTTCTTTCATATTCAATTTGTTTGTTTAGCGAGGCGCGCGTACGTTTTGCTTAATTTTTTATATATATTTTTAAGCAAAACATGAAAAATATTAAAATTTAATAAAAACAAATTGAATTATTGGTTGGCTCACTGGCTGGCTGGTAGGTTTTTCTTCTGTTCAAGGTGTTAAGAAGGAAGAGTAAGAGTGTTTTAAAATAGGGAGTGTGGCAAAATGAAATGTTTCTAATGTCGAAAATTATGTTACAGAATTTTTCTTTTAAAAGAAGTTCTGTTCTTAAGTCTTAAGGTCATAAATTTTGAAAATTTTTCTTTAATATTAAAATAAATGAACAAACAAAACATTTGAAATTAAACGATATTGTTGGTTTAACTTTTTTTGAATTATTATTCATAGATGTTGTTATTTTAAACCACTTAAAATCTTACCATCATCGTTTTTCTTTAAAATCCCTGCAGGTGGTGATGATGGAAATCTAAAAAAAAAAACAGCCACAAAAAGGAGAGAGAGAATAGAGAAGCAATATTATTAAAAAAACACAATAATAACAAATCAGCAAATAAAAATTGTTTAAAAATCGTTTAAAATCCCCATAAAAATAACTTTAAGATTTTGCCCAAATTGATACAAAAAGAAAATTAAAGGTTACATTAAAATTCAATAGCTCATACCCTAAAATTAGATTCCCCTTGTTGCTTTAAGTCTAAAAAAAACTTACCTGTAACAGTATGGATGTGTCACAGCTGGAATGTCGAAAAAAGATGATGCTCTTTCATGACGCACTCCTTTGACATTTACTGTAAAAGAAAAGAAAAACAAGATTTTCCATAAATAAGTTTCAGAACTTTTATTTGGGGGAAAATTATGCTTCAACCTCATAGATTATCTATTAAATACTATTAAATATCTTAAGTAACACAACAGGAGTCATAAATATTCTTGGAATAAAGAATATCTCAACATCATAATTTATTTTCAATTTTCAAAAAACCACTTCTTTGGTATTACATACTTCATGCAAGTTTTAGTTGTAATAATAATTTTCTTGTTTAACATTGTTGCTTTTGTTTGGAGTTGATTGTGGGAATTATTTTCATATGGGAGGAAGTTCTTTTTTATTTTATAATATTTCAATAACAGTGAACGAATGTCAATATTTGCAGAATATCTTAAATACAAACAAATACATATAAAAACTCAAACATTTAGTCTGACAATGTTTATTGAAAAAGTCAATAAGCTCCGGGTCATAGGGCGTTATGCTAAAGAAAACTAATTGTTTTGAACAACATAGTTTATTAAATTTATAAGATAAATAAAAAATATTAAAAAAGGGAAATTAAAAAAGTTCGTGGATAACTGAAATAGAACTGGATTAGAACTGAACTAAACTGAACTAGAACTGAACTAGAACTGAACTAGAAGACTGAACTAGAACTGAACTAGAACTGAACTAGAACTGACTAGAACTGAACTAGAACTGAACTAGAACTGAACTAGAACTGAACTAGAACTAGAACTGAACTAGAACTGAACTAGAACTGAACTAGAACTGAACTAGAACTGAACTAGAACTGAACTAGAACTGAACTAGAACTGAACTAGAACTGAACTAGAACTGAAACTAGAACTGAACTAGAACTGAACTAGACTGAACTAGAACTGAACTAGAACTGAACTAGAACTGAACTAGAACTGAACTAGAACTGAACTAGAACTGAACTAGAACTGACTAACTGAACTAGAACTGAACTAGAACTGAACTAGAACTGAACTAGAACTGAACTAGAACTGAACTAGAACTGAACTAGAACTGAACTAGAACTGAACTAGAACTGAACTAGAACTGAACTAGAACTGAACTAGAACTGAACTAGAACTGAACTAGAACTGAACTAGAACTGAACTAGAACTGAACTAGAACTGAACTAGAACTGAACTAGAACTGAACTAGAACTGAACTAGAACTGAACTAGAACTGAACTAGAACTGAACTAGAACTGAACTAGAACTGAACTAGAACTGAACTAGAACTGAACTAGAACTGAACTAGAACTGAACTAGAACTGAACTAGAACTGAACTAGAACTGAACTAGAACTGAACTAGAACTGAACTAGAACTGAACTAGAACTGAACTAGAACTGAACTAGAACTGAACTAGAACTGAACTAGAACTGAACTAGAACTGAACTAGAACTGAACTAGAACTGAACTAGAACTGAACTAGAACTGAACTAGAACTGAACTAGAACTGAACTAGAACTGAACTAGAACTGAACTAGAACTGAACTAGAACTGAACTAGAACTGAACTAGAACTGAACTAGAACTGAACTAGAACTGAACTAGAACTGAACTAGAACTGAACTAGAACTGAACTAGAACTGAACTAGAACTGAACTAGAACTGAACTAGAACTGAACTAGAACTGAACTAGAACTGAACTAGAACTGAACTAGAACTGAACTAGAACTGAACTAGAACTGAACTAGAACTGAACTAGAACTGAACTAGAACTGAACTAGAACTGAACTAGAACTGAACTAGAACTGAACTAGAACTGAACTAGAACTGAACTAGAACTGAACTAGAACTGAACTAGAACTGAACTAGAACTGAACTAGAACTGACTAGAACTGAACTAGAACTGAACTAGAACTGAACTAGAACTGAACTAGAACTGAACTAGAACTAGAACTGAACTAGAACTGAACTAGAACTGAACTAGAACTGAACTAGAACTGAACTAGAACTGAACTAGAACTGAACTAGAACTGACTAGAACTGAACTAGAACTGAACTAGAACTGAACTAGAACTGAACTAGAACTGAACTAGAACTGAACTAGAACTGAACTAGAACTGAACTAGAACTGAACTAGAACTGAAACTAGAACTGAACTAGAACTGAACTAGAACTGAACTAGAACTGAACTAGAACTGAACTAGAACTGAACTAGAACTGAACTAGAACTGAACTAGAACTGAACTAGAACTGAACTAGAACTGAACTAGAACTGAACTAGAACTGAACTAGAACTGAACTAGAACTGAACTAGAACTGAACTAGAACTGAACTAGAACTGAACTGAACTAGAACTGAACAGAAGAACTAAACTGAACTAGAACTGAACTAGAACTGAACTAGAACTGAACTAGAACTAGAACTGAACTAACTGAACTAGAACTAGAACTGAACTAGAACTGAACTAGAACTGAACTAGAACTGAACTAGAACTGAACTAGAACTGAACTAGAACTGAACTAGAACTGAACTAGAACTGAACTAGAACTGAACTAGAACTGAACTAGAACTAGAACTGAATTAGAACTGAACTACTGAACTAGAACTGAACTAGAACTGAACTAGAACTGAACTAGAACTGAACTAGAACTGAACTAGAACTGAACTAGAACTGAACTAGAACTGAACTAGAACTGAACTAGAACTGAACTAGAACTGAACTAGAACTGAACTAGAACTGAACTAGAACTGAACTAGAACTGAACTAGAACTGAACTAGAACTGAACTAGAACTGAACTAGAACTGAACTAGAACTGAACTAGAACTGAACTAGAACTGAACTGAACTAGAACTGAACTAGAACTGAACTAGAACTGAACTAGAACTGAACTAGAACTGAACTAGAACTGAACTAGAACTGAACTAGAACTGAACTAGAACTGAACTAGAACTGAACTAGAACTGAACTAGAACTGAACTAGAACTGAACTAGAACTGAACTAGAACTGAACTAGAACTGAACTAGAACTGAACTAGAACTGAACTAGAACTGAACTGAACTAGAACTGAACTAGAACTGAACTAGAACTGAACTAGAACTGAACTAGAACTGAACTAGAACTGAACTAGAACTGAACTAGAACTGAACTAGAACTGAACTAGAACTGAACTAGAACTGAACTAGAACTGAACTAGAACTGAACTAGAACTGAACTAGAACTGAACTAGAACTGAACTAGAACTGAACTAGAACTGAACTAGAACTGAACTAGAACTGAACTAGAACTGAACTAGAACTGAACTAGAACTGAACTAGAACTGAACTAGAACTGAACTAGAACTGAACTAGAACTGAACTAGAACTGAACTAGAACTGAACTAGAACTGAACTAGAACTGAACTAGAACTGAACTAGAACTGAACTAGAACTGAACTAGAACTGAACTAGAACTGAACTAGAACTGAACTAGAACTGAACTAGAACTGAACTAGAACTGAACTAGAACTGAACTAGAACTGAACTAGAACTGAACTAGAACTGAACTAGAACTGAACTAGAACTGAACTAGAACTGAACTAGAACTGAACTAGAACTGAACTAGAACTGAACTAGAACTGAACTAGAACTGAACTAGAACTGAACTAGAACTGAACTAGAACTGAACTAGAACTGAACTAGAACTGAACTAGAACTGAACTAGAACTGAACTAGAACTGAACTAGAACTGAACTAGAACTGAACTAGAACTGAACTAGAACTGAACTAGAACTGAATTAGAACTGAACTAGAACTGAATTAGAACTGAACTAGAACTGAACTAGAACTGAACTAGAACTGAACTAGAACTGAACTAGAACTGAACTAGAACTGAACAAGAACTGAACTAGAACTGAACTAGAACTAGAACTGAACTGGAATTGAACTAGAACTACAACTGAGAATAAAATTGAAGTCAAAAACTCACCATTATATCTTGAATTTAAATAACTTTCCGTCGTACTTTCAATGCCAAATTTACCAATGGAAGAGGCAGAACTACTTGAGGGCAAAGCAGGAGCATACATAACAAATTCATCAGCTAATTGTTGATGAGGATGCGATGGCGTGTGATGGGCATGATGAACATACCATTGCTCTCTAGCTAGATCTAGAAAATAATACTGAAACGATCAAGAACAATTTGAAATTTAAATCTTTCCCTTCATCTACCTGTAGAAGATTGTAACGCTGTTACAGCGCTGGAAGACACTGATGATGATATCGAAATGGGTGTCATACAACAATGGGTTTTCTGTAAACTGCCATTCAAATGTAACTCATCATCATTATTGTTGTTATTGTTGCTGGTGGTCGGATCTATTAGATTGTGTCCATTTGTATTGTTATTGTTGCTGTTGGATGTTTGCAAATCAATGCATTTCTTTTTCTCTTGTGCACTGTTGTTGTTATTGTGCTGCTGCTGTTGGCTGTCTGTTGTGGAGCATATATTTTTATTAGCTGCGGCGGATGCTGAAGAGACATCACTTGTGGTATTCGATGAAAGGGTTGCTGATGATGAGGAATAGGAAGAGGCGCTGATAGGATTAACATTGTCAATGTGACGATTAAGGGTTTGATGTAAATTTTCCAGCACCAAATTGTTGTTGTTGCTCGAATTTGTATAGTCGGTCTGTGAAGGTTTTAGAAATACATTTTATTTGTTTAAACTTTAAAATTATTGATTTTTAGTGAGACATTTTATTTAGATTTTCTTTTAATTTTTAAGCAATTTGTTTGCTTTTTGTTTTAGAAAGGAAATAAATCAATTCGTAACAGGATGTAATCATAAACATAAGTAATAACATTTTCTTAAAGGATATTGTGGAATACCAAGACATTTTTTTTGGCAATTTGTGGGTAAAGTAATAGAGTTTCTATTTTTTTTAAAGGAAAACAACCCTTGCTAGTAAATTAATGCTGAAGATTTGAGTTAAAATTCTATTAAGGTGAGAAAAAAAAACTTGATTAGCGCAAAATTAGAAATAAATATTTTTTGTCGAATTAAATTTATCTTTAAATTGATAATTTATCGAAAATTTTCTAGATTTAAAAATAAAAATTTCTTGGCAAATCTTTAAATAGAGAGAATTTCTCTAAAGAGAAATTTATCAAAAATTCATTGTAAAAATATACTATTTTCAATAAAAAGAAATTTGTCTCATATTCTCCATAAAGAGATAATGTATTGAAAATTTTGTATAAAGAATCCTTTCTATTCTCATATTCTTATCAAAAAGAGTATTAATCGACCATTTTAATTAAAAAACTTTTCTTAAAAAAGAGAATGCATCGAAAATTCTCTTTAAAGAGAGGAAATTTGAAACATTTATTGAAAGAGACAATCTGTAGAATACTTTCTATAAAGAGAGAAAATATCAAAAATTCTCTTTAAGAGAAATTTTTTTGAAAATTCTCTTTAGGAGAGAATATATTAAAAACTCTAAAAATTACAAAAAAAAAATTTCATTATAAAGTGAATGCATCGAAAATTGAATTTAAAGAGAGGAATTATAGATAAATCTTTTGAAGGAGAGAATTTGTTTAACATTATCTATTGAAAGAGAGATATTAGCGAATATTCTCTTTTAAGAGAGAATTTATTGAAAAGAAAGAAAGGAATTATGGAAAATTCTATTGAAAAAGAGAATCTGTGAAACACTTTCTATAAAGAGAAAAATTATCAAAAATTTTCTTTAAAAGAGAATTCATTGAAAATTCTCTTTAGGAGAGAATTTATTAAAAACTCTAAAAAGTACAAAAAAATTCTCTTTATAAAAAGAATGCATCTAAAATTGTATTTAAGGAGAGGAATTATGGATAAATCTTTTAAAGGACAGAATTTGTTTAACATTATCTATTGAAAGAGAGAAATTTGTTCATATTATCTTTTAAGAGAGAATTTATTGAAAACTCTTTATAAAGTGAGACCGATAACTTATCGAAAAATTTTTATGGAGATAAAGTATATCAAAAATCCTCTTTGAGAAAAAATCCGTTTAAGAAAAGAATTTATAGAAATTTATTGAAAATTGTATTTGTAGAGATAGGAATTCTGGAAAAATCTCTTGAAGGAGAGAATTTCTTTAAAATTTTCTATTGAAAGAGAGAAATCAGTTCATATTCTCTTTTAAGAGAGAATTTATTGAAAACTCTTTAAAGAGACTGATAATTTATTGAAAAATTTTTATAGAAACAAAGTATATCAAAAATTATTTTTTAGAAATTTGAGAGAAATTGTTGAAAATACTTTTTAAAGAGAGCATTTATGTAAGTGGATTTACAAAAAACTTGTGGATTATTTACCAAGAGGAAGAGAATTTTTTTTATAGAGAAATTATCGAAAATTATCTTTAAAGTGAGAGTTGTTAAATTTTTTCTATAAAGAGAGAATTTATTGTAAACTTTCTTCAAAGTAAGATCGTAAATTTGTAAGAATTTCCCTACAAAGGAAAATTATGTATAAAAAGAGAGAATTTATTGAAAATTCTTATTAAAGGAAGAAAAACTAGAATTAATGAAAAATTGTCTATTGAGAGAGAGAATTTATGAAAATTTTCCATAAAGAGAGTTTTGGTCGAAAATTCTCTCTAAACTAAGAATTAGAGAGTATTCAAAAATTCTCTTCAAACAGAGAATAAAAGAGTAGTTGTGGGACAGTTCTGTCATATATTAGTAAAATTTCCTTCATTTGTATTAAATTAATTAGCACAACTTTTAGTTTTATCACTATTTTGCACATTCTCTTTCCATCTAGCTATTAGTTGTTGAAACAATGAAGGGTCACCAGATCACCTGGTGTGTGAACTAGTGTAAAACAAACTTGACGACACACATACTACTATTTATATGACATCTCGTAAACCTCCTTCTTTCTTGCTGTTACCAACAGTAGAACGCTGTTGGAAGAAATGAAAGCAAACTTGTGGAATTACTCTGGTGTTTGAGTTCAAGAAAATCGAGTTAATTAGTTTAACAGCTTTTAGATTTTCTAGAACACTACAAGTATTAAACAAATACACTACAAACAATCTGTTTATTTTTGTTAATAGTACTAAACAGACAATTGAAAGCAAAACTAAATGTTTTTGTTGTAAATTATTTGTATGACAAAGTGCTAGAAGGGCCAAAGTGTTGATATACATATATGAATGTATGTTGAGAGTGTGCGAATGCGTTTCTTTTGTTTTGACCTGTTGACGAAGAGTTGGCCAATTAAGTAATGAAGCTTAAAACAAACAATCAAGTTTAGAGTTTTTTTTGTTGTTTTTGGTATCAAGTGGTGTTGAAGAATACGAAGTGAAGTATGTATGAGAAAAGAAGTGTTTTGAAATAGTTGTATTGAAGAACTTGTATGATAAATGTTGAATGAATGAATGGAGTGTCATGTGTAGTTTTAATTGTGTCAATTTAATTGTATGTTTATATTGAGGTTTCAATATCATGACAACTATGTTATTTGTTTGTTTTTTTCTAAAAGTAATCAGGTCCAAAATAAGACGTGGTGGAAGAGTATTTATACCTATATTTTTTAGTTTAAGGGGAACATTTCACTTAACACTTAAGTGTGTGTTCGGTGAAATTTAATTCAAGAGTTAAAAACTAAAAGTAAATTGTGCTAATTATGTTTTTTAAAAAACATATTTAATTTTAATGATTGTTTTAAATTAAATACAATTGTTGTAGCTAAACAAATTAATTAAAGGCAATTGTTTTCATTAAATCTCAAATTACAATTAAATTGTCCGTCTGTGTGTCTTTTAAATTTTGTGTTAAAGACTTTGAAATATTTCATAAAAATGATTTGTTGTTTTTGTTTTAAAATCCAATCCAACCGACCAAAACTAATTCGTGATGTCACTTGATGCATGGTTAAATATTTTTTATTTGTAATTAGGGTTTTAAGTTTTTAGGTACAATTTCTCTATAAAAATACTCTATAGAGCGACTTCAAATTATTTAAAAAAGAGATTTTTTCGGAAATTCTCTATAAAGAGTGAATTTATACAAAATAAGACTTAGAATTAATCGCCAAAAATTTTCAATAAAAAAGATTTTGATTCAATTTTTTTTAATATAGAGATGATTTTTTCGAAATTTCTCTTTAAAGAGAGAATTTATAGAAAATATTCTATAAAAAGTTAATTTTCGCAATGTCTCTTTAAAAAGAGAATATATTGAAAATTAAATGAAAAAAAATTACAGAAAATTTTCTTGAAAAAATTTAAATTTCTCTTAAAAAATGTTTTAGAAATAAATTCTCTTAAAAGAGAGAAAAAAAAAATCAAAAATTTTCTTAAAATCAAGAATTGATACAAAATTCTCTAAGAAAATAGATTTGATTAAAAAATCTATAAAAGGATAGAAATAATCGAGAATTCTCTTTAATTTAACGAAAATTCTCTTAAAAGAGCAAACTTTATATACAATTTTCTTAAAAAGAGAATTATTTTAGTAGAGAGAAAAACAAAAATTCTCTTAAAAGGTAAAATTAATCGAAAATTCTCTTTAAAGAATAAAACTGATCAAAAATTTTCTGCAATCGTGAATTCTCTTTAATCGGAATTTCTCTTTAATGAAGGATTAAATATACAATTCTGTTAAAATAAAGAATTTATCCTAGTTCTTAAATTAAAATTCTCTTTAAAGGAGAAATTAATGGAAAATACTCTTAAAATAAAGAATTTTTCGCGAATTCTTTAATTAAGTTTGTTAGCAATCCTCTTTAAAAAGAGAATTGATCGAGAATTATCAAAAGGCTAGAAATTATAAATAATTTTCATCAAAGAAAGAATTGATCTTTCTCTTTATATCAAAATATCTTTTAAAAGAGAGAATTGATCGAGAATTCTCTTAAAGAAAAAAAAAAAAGCTTTTTAAGGAATTTTTTTGTAAAAGGGGAATTGATCGAACATATTAGTTTAAAGAGAGAATTGCTCGAGTATTCTCTTTTAAAAGAAAACGAATATACTCTTATAAAAGAGTGTAGATCGAGAATTCTCTTAAAAGAAAGAAAAGGAAATTCTTAAAGAGAGATTTGATTAAAATTCTCTTAAAAGGGAGAATTTATTGAAATTATTATGAATTCTCTTTAAAGAAGAAACTAAAAGAAAATTCTATTAAACCAAATAATTTATCGCGAATTTCTTTTAAAGAGGGAATTGAGAGAGAGAATTCTTTAAAAAGAGAAAGTTTATTCGAAGTTCTTGTAAATGGGAGAAATATTTTCTTAAAGAAGTGTAAGAGTAAAATTTGTTAGAAATTTTTTTTAAAGAGGTAATAAAACAAGAATAACCCTTAAGGCTAGAAGTGGTTAAAAATTTTCTTTAAATAAGAGATTGATAATTCTTTTTAAATCGAAAACTTTTTTTAAAAAGAGATTTGATTGAGCATTATCTTAAAGTCTAAAAATTATCGAAAATTTTCTTTTATGTAATCTGTAATTGAGAATTCACTTTCAAGAAGGAATTAATAAAATATTCTCTCAAAATAAGGAATTTATTGGAAATCCCTTATTAAATTTGTGATAAATTCTCTTTAAAAAAAACATTGATCGGGAATTTTTTTAAAGCTAGATATTATCGTGAAATTATTCTTTAAATAAAAATATAAATAAAAATTAATGGAATATTCTTTTAATCGAAAATTTATTGAAATTGAAAATTGATGAAGTATTCACTTTAAAAAGAAAATTAATCGAAAATTCTCTTAAAAGAGATGTTTCTCTTTAAATAAATAATTTGTCAAATATTCTCTAAAGATTTAAATTTTGATCAAAAATTTATATTTGCCTATACTATAAATATGCCGGCAAAATTTTGTTGACCCATGCTAAAAACCCTATTGACATACCAATCGTAATAATAGAAAAAACTGTAATCAAAAATTTTGCAAATTTGTTTTGAATTTTGAAAAAAATTTGCTGATTTATAGCATATTGACATTAAAGCTAATCAACATTCAATTTTTAAACTCATGTCACAAAAGAAAAAAATTAACAAACTTACATCAACTTTGCAAAATTCACTGAAAAAAAAAAACAATTTTACGCTATTGGCGGCGTATCGCAATCGTAACGTAATTTATTAAGTTAACAACTAAATTACAAATAAATACAAGTAATGTAATATTTAATACGAATGTAATACGATGATAATACAGCTTGACAGTTTGCCTGCAATTTAACAGTTACAACATTTTTCCATTTTTCTTGTTTTAAATAGAAAACCGTTTAAGTATTTTGTGGAGAGAAAATTGTTTTGACTCATAAAAAGGTCATTTTCTCACATGCTTTAAAGTTGAAAATTTTTAACCTAGTTTTCAATAAAAGTCATTTCTTTTGAAACAAATTGGTGAAGCACCCTACAACTGTAGAAGGAAGATGGTACACACAAATAAATAATTGGAGGAAGAGTGAATTGATCAAGAATTTAAGAGACAATTGATCAAGAATTCTCTTTTGATTGAGAATATTTAAAAAAAGAGAAAATTGATAGAGAATTCTCTTAAAAGAGAGATTTGATTGAGAATTATGTTTTAAAAGAGATAATTGATCAAGAATTTTGGTTAAAGAGAAAATGTTTAAAGTTTTTTTTTTAAAGAAGAGTTTTAATCGAGATTTTTATTTAAAAAAGGAATTGTCGAGATTTCTTTTAAAAAAAGATCATTGATCAAGAATTTGGCTTAAAGTGACAACTGTTGAGATTTCTTTTAAAATAGAACATTGATTAAGAGAGATTTGATCAAGAATTGTGGTTAAAGAGAAAATGTTTAAAGTTTTTCTTAAAGGAGAGTTTTAATCGAGATTTTTATTTAAAGAAATAATTATCGAGATTTCTTTTAAAATAGATCATTGATCGAGAATTTGGCTTAAAGAAAGAACTGTTGGGAGATAATTGATCAAGAGAGAGAATAGATCAAGAATTGTGTTTAAAGAGAAAATGTTTAAAGTTTTTCTTAAATGAAAGTTTTAATCGAGATATATTTTTAATGAAAAAAATTATAGAAATTTCTTTTAAAATAGATCATTGGTCAAGAATTTGGCTTAAAGAGAGAACTGTTGAGATTTCTTTCAAAAAAGAACATTGATCAAGAGAGAATTGATCAAGAATTCTGGTTAAAGAAAAAATGTTTAAAGTTTTTCTTAAAGGAGAGTTTTAATCGAGATATATTTTTAAAGAAAAAAATTATAGAAATTTCTTTTAAAATAGATCATTGATCGAGATTTTGGCTTAAAGAGAGAACTGTTGAGATTTCTTTCAAAATAGATCATTGATCGAAAATTCTTTTAAAATATACAATTAATCGTAAAATTGAGAATTGGCCTCAAATTATTTATAATCGAATTTTTAATCAAAAATTTTCTTTAAAATGTTTGAAATTAATCCAAAAATATAAGTAGTGGGGTTCGGATCCTGCTATATCTGTCTAGATTTCTAAGATTTGGTGAAGTAAGTGTTTTTTTTTTATTTTTTTTTTTTTTAGAAATAAACCCAGTTTTAAACAAATAATTTTTCACTTAGTCACTTGCATGTATATAAACAATTAAGGGTTTATTATAAAATTTGTATCAAAATGCGTGTGCAAAAAACTATTAACTTTTATTTAGCACTCACTGTAACTGAAGATCTGTATATTTAAGTTTTTCACTTACCTACATGGGAAATTTACCATCTCAGATTGAAGATAATATTACAATGTCTAAAGTTTAGTTTAACTTTTTTTTGGTTTTCTCTCTTTAATGAATTTAATGCAATCATTAAAAACAAAAACATGATTTAATTTTTTTGGCAAAGATTTGCTAAGATTAAGTAGATTTCTCTTATAATGAAATGGAGTAATTATTGTGCAAGTATTAAATATTTTTAAGATCAATTTAAATTAAATCATATTTTACTACTAATCAACCGAAAATAGCAAAAATTTAAAGCTCGAAGGACCTTAACTATTATTTAAAGTTAATTGCTTGGTCAGTTCAACTTCAAGCTAAAAAGTCATCCTAAAGTTGCAAATGTCATTAACGTACGTGCTGCTAAGAGAAACTTCTCCATATATTTTACGAGTGGGAAACGAATTGTATGTAAAACATTACATTATCATTATAATCTTAGCTTAGGTGTATTATGTAGTTTTGCTACTGGTATTTAATATTCATATTTGTATCACTAAGTACAAATTCATATAGTACGCATTGATTACAAAATTCATCACCTTAAAAATTATCCAATAAAACAAAAAAAGACTATTTATTTGGTGAGAGAGTACTACATACACAGACTAATTATAATTTTTATAACTTACACATGTTAGTACAACAATATTTCATTATATTCACATGGAATAATTATTTTTTAAAAATATACACAAACAGAAAATAATGAAGAAAACACAAATGCAAAATAACGTTAAATTTAACAGTTAGAGATGAGTTTAAGGGGGACCCTTAAATGAGGAATTTCTGAAGACAATAATAGTCAATATTCTGAAGTACCGGTAAGGCTTCACATTAGAATATAGTTCGTTCTATACTATACTATATACTACATGTTAGTGTTCAATATACTTAAGGCTATAGTCTGGCCTATTTACTCTACACTATAGTTCTGCGACTATACTCTAGACTATATTCCAGGTTTTAGATATGACAATATCCTAGACTTTGTTGTAGACTGAACTCCAAATTGTAATTTAGATAATATTCTCATAGATCCAAACTATAACCCATAGTTAGAAGTTCTGACCACTAACTAAAAAACGAAAAAAGAACGAACGAACGAACGAAAAAAGAACGAAAAACGAAACGAACGAAAACGAAACGAACGAAATAAGAACGAAAGAACGAAACGAAAGAACGAACGAACGAAACGAACGAACGAACGAAACGAACGAACGAAACGAACGAACGAAAACAACGAAACGAACGAAAGAACGAAACGAACGAACGAACGAACGAAACGAACGAACGAACGAACGAACGAACGAACAACGAACGAACGAACGAACGAACGAACGAACGAACGAACGAACGAACGAACGAACGAACGAACGAACGAAACGAACGAACGAACGAGAACGAACGAACGAAACGAACGAACGAAACGAACGAACGAACGAACGAACGAACGAACAACGAACAACGAAACGAACGAAACGAACGAAAACGAACGAACGAACGAACGAAACGAACGAACGAACGAACGAACGAACGAACGAACGAACGAAAGAACGAACGAACGAACTAACTAACTAACTAACTAACTAACTAACTACTAACTAACTACGAACTAACTAACTAACTAACTACTAACTAACTACTAACTAACTAACTAATAACTAACTAACTAACTACTAACTAACTAACTAACTACTAACTAACAACTAACTAACTAACTACTAACTAACTAACTAACTAACTAACTAACGACTAACTAACTAACTAACTAACTAACTAACTACACTAACTAACTAACTAACTAACTAACCTAACTAAACTAACTAACTAACTAACTAACTAACTAACTAACTAACTAACTAACTAACTAACTAACTACTAACTAACTAACTAACTAACTAACTAACTAACTAACTAACGAACTAACTAACTAACTACTAACTACTAACTAACTACTAATCTACTAACTAACTAACTAACTAACTACTAACTAACTAACTAACTAACTAACTAACTAACTAACTAACTAAACTAACTAACTAACTACTAACTAACTAACTACTAACTAACTAACTAACTAACTAACTAACTACTAAACTAACTAACTAACTAACTAACTAACTAACTACACTAACTAACTAACTACTAACTAACTAACTAACTAACTAACTAACTAACTAACTACTAACTAACTAACTAACTACTACTACTAACTAACTAACTACTAACTAACTAACTAACTAACTACTAACTAACTAATAACTAACTAACTAACTAACCTAACTAACTAACTAACTAACTAACTAACTACTAACCTAACTAACTAACGAACTAACTAACTAACTACTAACTACTAACTAACTAACTAACTAACTAACTACTAACTAACTACTAACTACTAACTAACTAACTAACTAACTAACAACTAACTAACTAGACTACTAACTAACTAACTAACTTGGACATTTTCCCAAAAGGACACCATTTAGTTTTTAAAAATTCTCTTTCACTTGAAAGTTAAAAAGTAAAAATTGATCCAGAATTCCCTTAAAAGGAAGGAGTAATGGAGAATGTTCTTTAAAGAGAGATTTAATAAAAATTATCTGAAAAGATAGAATTTGTTGAGAATTGTCTTTAAGGAGGGATTATTTCTCTAAATTCTGAAGAGAAATTTTGCTAAAATTCTTATTAACTTACTAACTAAAAACTACATTAATATCCAAAATTAATTAATAATGGCCTTTGGTTAGTGTTCTAGTCTATGAGACCGGAGGTGGTGGGTTCGATTCCCACCTGAGGCACTGGTTAAGATGCGAACAACAGGCCCAATAGAGGCCTTGGTGTATTTCTTCGGATTTGATGTATGTATGTACATCCTCCTCTTAATCTAACATTAAATTAATACCCAATTCATCTTCCATTTAAATAAAAACGCTCTAAGAGCCTTCCATGGCTGTTCGTTAGTATTCACCCTTGTTGATAAACTGTAGCAGTAACAGCGATATGGATTGCTATAAATAGGTCAAACCTTAGCGTACGCTGCTGGTTAATAAGTTTTTAAAATATTTAAATTTTAAAAACTTTGAGCTAACAATAAGAAATAAATGCAAATATAAATACTCTGCCCTGGGACACCCTTCTTGCAAATCACTCATGTATGGAAAAACACTTTCACTGACGAACATTCAAATGACACGCTGGGGTTCACCAAGAAAACAGGTGAAGAAGAAGAAAAAAAAACGAAGACAAAGTACTAAAACTAAAACGTCTGTCTTACATTTGTAATGTAAAAGCGTAAAAAAAGAGACGAACAAAAAAACCAAAAACCAAAAAAGAAAACGATCAAAGAAAAGCGGTATGATCATCATTATCATTGTGCTGCCAACAATGATGAACCACTTTGAGGCGCTGGTGTAACAAATGATTTTGTACCCCCAAAACATTCCAACTATAGATGCAGTTGAAGACGGTTTAACTTGGTTGAAAGCTTTTTTTAAAAAAAATACACTACAAATTTTTAACGGAAAGATAATATAAAAGAGCATTTATAAAGTGTTTATATTTTGTTTAACGGAATTTGTTTTTTAGTAATTGTTGTACATGGAAAATGTTTTGTTTAAAAGAATATCGAAAAAATTGTTGTATTTGTAGTAACAATTTTAAATTGTGTTCTGTGAAAAGTGTGTATTTGGTGTTAACGTTGTTATTAATACAAGTTTTTAAAGGTAAAGGGAATAAAAAATAAAATTAAATTAAAGAAAAAAATTTCTGGAAATTTCCTGGAGTGAAAGTTGTTTTTTTGGAACAACAATAACAGTGTGGTTTAAAACTGGTTTTATAAAAGGATACAAAGTAACAAATTTAAGAAAAGAGTTTAAAAGCAGAGATTCTTAAATAATTTAATAACTATGTTGATCGCACATTACTTTATTCCTGAAAAAATTGGTTATCGGTAATATTTACAGCAATTTGGTACCTAAGTGAGCCAAATCCAGACTTTGGGCAGACTTAACTGAAGCATAAATATATAGTTTATATACGATGGCCTCCGTTGGATTAGTGCTTAGTGTTGTAGTCTGTTAGACCGGAGGTGGAGTGCTCGATTTCCACCTGAGGCACTGGTTAAGGTGCGCACAAGAGGCCCGATAGAGACCTAAGTGTATTCTTCGGATTTGATGTATATATATCCTATTTTCAAACAAGCTAACTTACTACGTTATTATTTCAATCTAAAATAGTCTTAAATAATATCTGACCTTTGACCCAAAATGGCCAAAGAGAAATTTCATTCTAAATCGCACTTATACTAAATCATATCTATAATATGAAAGCACAAATCGGCATTAAACAAATCCTTTAGAAATATTGAAAATTCTGAAATTTAGTAAATTTAATTTCGATCATCTTGTGATTTCTGAAAGTAAGTGTTTAAATAAACACGTTTTGTGATTAATTTCATACGATCTTACATCAAATCGGTAATTCTAGAAACGAGAAGATGTAGCCAAAGTCCAGGCATCGGCAAAGATACCTTCTATTTGGTTTTGTTTTATTTTTGTACCCTGCCGGTTACTATCATATAATTATGATGTTTGCAACGTCCAAAATATTGAAGCTACACCCACCTTAGTATACCAATTGTCCATATCTGTTCGTCTTCCCGTTCATCCATTCAACCATGTATTTTTTAAGATAATTGTTTCTCAAATCGAAATATTGGAATCATATCCACTTTCCGCAGAAACGGGAAAAATAGTAGATAAAAAAAGTCCACAGATATTCTCTATTGATGAGTTTTGTTTGGAAAATGACAGCCCACCATTTCACCTTGTTCCCATAGATGTGGTCCACGGTTTAAACTGTTATACCCCAATCGTAAAATATAGCGAAAATTAGGCCAAATTTATCTTTAACATAAATATGTTTCATAAGAATATAAATCTCCCTATAAAATTTCAAAAGAATATTGATCCATATCAGACCTACCCCTTTTACAAAAATTGTGAATAAATCTTTCAAAAATACCCTATTCCGTAAATCACCCTGATATATACCCATTATGCTTTGCTATCCAAAACAAATATAAATAAACACTTTACGATTTTAAAGTTTCTAACTATAATAGTTCACAAATACACGGAATTTTGAATTTAATTCATATGGGAGAAGCGACATCCTCCGCCCATTGAAATACCGCCCATTTTCCTCAAAATGTTCACATGAATGTCAATGTTCTTCAAGTAAGATTTGTAGATTCTTTCTGTAATAGCTTCTCAGATATACGAATTTTTGTATTTAATTCATATATGAGAGGTTTTAAAGAAGACCCCCCCCAAATTGAAATACCACCCATTTTCACCAAAGTGTTCAGAAGGATGTTAAAGTTTTTCGTGCAAAAATTGAGCATTTTAGCTCTGATGTACGACTTGAGCACTTTAGCCCAGATATAAGCCACCCAAATGAAAGTCCTCCATTTTTCACCAAAATGTTCAGATTAATATTAAAGATCTTCGTGTAAAATTTAAAGAATTTAGCTCTATTAGTTTCCCAGATAAACGAATTTTTGTATTTAATTTATATGGGAAGTGCCACGCCTGCATTTTCATCCGCCAATTTATTACCCAAAATGTTTACATGGAGGTTAAAGTTCTTCGTGCAAAATTTAAAGAATTACTATTAGTTTCCCAGATAAACAAATTTTTGTATTTAATTCATATGGGAGGTGCCACGCCCTCTACTGCTAGCCCACCCAATTTTTTTCTTAAATAATCATATTGACACTAAAGTGGTTATGACAAAACATGAGAACTCAGTTATAATTTCTCTGATAAGCTGATTTAATATTTTTTCATATGGAAGATGCAGTGAGCGTTGCATAAGCAGTACTTACGTTCATTTTATCCCCAAATGTTCACACGGATGTAAAGATTGTCCATATAAATTTTGAGAACTCTAGGTGTTGCGGTTTCTAAGATATGTAAATTTTTATATTTATTTTGTATGTGGGCGTGGCATCTTGCCCACAAGTATCCTTTAATTCCTTCCAGACATTTCAACAATATTGGTTCAATCGTTCAAGGCGTCTAATTTAGACTTCAAACTCACTCACAAACAAACAAAGCAGAGTCGGCCGAATACAACTCTTTTCTAAATATTTGAAATTTCTAAATATTAACCTTTCACTCCAGAAAAATCATCAAAAAAAGGAAATTTTACAATTAAAAAATTATTCTATTAATAATCCCTTTAAAATTCGCAGTTTCCTTAGCTCAACCCTATCGCAATACACAGCGCTGTTCACATCGTTTGGAAAATGCACTCGAACACATGAGACGACGTAGTATACAAACGAAATCATCACGATCCTATGTACCACAAACACCCTATTCTCTCTATCACTCTTTATACGGACAACCCGAGGAGCCCGAAGAGGATTTTTATCATCCCTCCAATGATCGTGGTTATTATGCCAAAAATATCAATCGTAATTATAATCAACCCTATTCAAGACTGGATTTTGAAGCTGCTCTATCGCAAACTCAGAATCAGTATCAGAACCAAAGACAGCCACATCGTTTAGCGGTGGCCCGGGTGGATGTTGAGGATTTAAAAGTGAGATTACCCAATGAAAATGCTGCCCGTTGGGTGGAGGTGGATAAATGTAAATTTAGTTCGGAAAATTCTACACTCGATACGAGACTTATATTTCCGGATTTGACTTTAAGCGGTAAAGTAGTATTGCAGCCTGCAGGAGGCAAATGTAATATGATTTTGAGATTACGGCATGCGGGCATAGAGTTTCGCACTATTCCCATAGGTTTTGAGAAAATAAGTGGGGAGGAGTCGAGACGTATAGGAGCTGCCTCGGTACGAACAGATTCTCATTTTGCAGAGCCGGGTTTTATATCAGTGTTTGCCCATGGCTGTCAAGGTGTGTAGAGTTTTATAAAAGTTAAAGAATTCTTTATTTTTAATGATACTTTTAGGACCAACAGGTATAAAAGTAAGGCAAAACTCCAAAAGACGTTATAGTTTTGTGGATGAACAGCAGCCGTCAGCTGCAGCACAAACTCCATTGCCACCAGAGGTTTTATTCGATATACGCAGCGAGGGTTATATACCGCCCAATATGAGAGACCAAGAACTCGAGTGGACTGATAGCAGTTCCCAGGAATTCTACGATCCCAATGGTGATAATTTCTATCGACAAAAATTCCGTTTTAAACGTAGCAATCCCTATCGTCAGGGACGCCAAACTGTGAATCCAGAACGTTTTAATGATGAAATGAATTTCGATGATGATGTACTCAATGTGGCGGATGATAAACTACAAGATATGATGCAACCCGATGCCAGAGCATTTGCAGATATATTCTCCGCTAATACAGGCACCGGCGGTAATATGTTTAATGATCATGAGGAGGTTAATGATGCTATGAGAAATGAATTGGAGAAATTATTTTCCATGGGTGTAAGGGGTCTCTTGACCACTTATATGCAAAGAGCTTTACAGCCAGCCATCAAAGAAACTTTAATGGAGAACATGGGCTATACCATTAGTTATGGTTAAACTTAGTTATTAGTTTTTTGATTCCAAATATTTGTAAATTTATTTTTAAACAATTATTTATTTTAAAATAATAAAAAAAAACACTCTAAAAACCGTACCATTTTTTAAAAACTATTTTTTTAATATTTTTTATATAAATTACACTTTTAATTATTTTTTTTCTGTTAATTTAAAACAATATTTTCAAAATCGAACCGTTATAAGAAAAATCCACGCCGCTACTAAAGTCTTTGAAAAATTCTTGTAGTGTTTTTAGTCTTGCTAAGATTTATTGCATACTTTTGCTTGTTTTAAGATTTATAGCATACATTTGGGAGGCGTTTCTTATTTTAGATGAATTGCCTATTGCGCAGGCTTTAATATGCTGGGGTAGCTGTTATTGGTTGAAAACGTTTAAAACTGAAAGGAGTTGGTATTATATAAACCTTTATATACTGCTTTATATAAAAATTTCGTTATATTGTTGCTTTCAAGTGTTTGTTTTGCATTTCCCTGTCTATAGTTATTTAAATTTCTATCACTTTTTTGTGCAAAATTTTAATTAAATTTTTCATTTAGTTAAATTGTTTATTTTTTTCCCTTTTTATCACAAAAATATTGTTTACATTTTGATGTTGAATTCATCATTGATTTTATCTTTGATTTTGTGCAAAAATAAAAACCAAAGCTGTCCTGGCTACTTGTTGTATTCAAGGTCAGTTCAATGTTCAATCCAAAATCTACGGATATCCGTTTCCGCTAGAAAAATAGGTTAGTTACAGTTATAGCTGCTGTTATTGTGGTTATCACAAAAATTTAAATTCGGTTTTGTGTTAAAGTATTATAAATATAAATAAGTGTTTTTATGTTATTGCTAAAATATTAAGATTTTAAAATTTTTCACAGTAATTTAAATAAGTAAGATTGTTATGGTATTTGTGGACGATTATTGTCCATTTTTAATGCCAAACAAACTAAAAATATTTGTGCAGACAGACAGACGGACGGAAGGAAATCGTCTTAGAATCTAATAGGAATCCAAACGGAATGACAAAAGGAATCAAACGAAATTGTACTTTTTACACCCATTAGTAGTGATATAGGGTGTATATAAGTTTGCCATTTCGTGCGTAACACCAAGAATTATTTTTTATCTGAGACCCAACAAAGTCCGTCTGTCTGTGTAAAACACGCTCACGAATAAACGTGCTCATAGAATTTACCCAAATTCACCCAAAATGTTCTTCATTTTCCTAAATTGTGTGGTACTGAAAATGAGCAAAATCAGTTTACATTAGGAAGAGTTATAAATCCAAATTAAAAAAAAAAAACATTGAAAAATTAAGCTTTTTTTACATATTATAATACAATTTTCACAAAAGCTATGCAGTATAATTCCATGAAAATCAGCACACAATTGTTTCTATACGAAATCTTGACTCCTGTTAAAAATTGTCCCCTTAACTTAACACTGAAACTCACATACATAACTCATTTCCAAAAAAAAAATCCATATTTGGTCATAGTTCCCAAACAACAACCCTTCCCGAAAATCACATAAAAGCACATAACTCATTACTAAATAATAATATATGTACATAAAAATTTTGGAACATATATTCTTTTTATATACAGAAAATACTGTATTTTTCTAAGATCGATCCATAATTGGTCGTAGCTTTCATCCAATTTAGAACCGCTAAATGAAACAAGAAGCATACTGATTGATTGAAAATCTATAAATGTGGACATTCTGGTACTTTTTCGTCATTCAATTGATACTTTTTTGATTTTCTTTTTTATTAAATCTGGATCCTGATAAAATTTGTAAGAGTGAAGTTTTTGGTACTTTTTCACCTTTACCCTTCACCACTATAGTGGGGAGAGTATTATGCGTTTATGCTGATGTTCGTTACGCACAAAAATATTGGTCCTTAAATCACAGAATCACTTTCTGAGTCGATTAAGACAAGTCCGTCCGTCTGTCCGGCTGGCTGTCCATGTAAACCTAGTGTGCAAGCTACAGGCCACAATTTCCAAGATATTTTGAGATGAAATTCAGCATAACTAACCTAATAATAAATCCCTGCTCCCAATTTATTGAGTATCGGCCCATATTTGACCCTAACTCCCATATAAAGCCTCTTTTAGAAATATAGTTTTTAATCAATAAATTCAACATAAAAGTTTCTTTATGAAAAACACATAATTTTTAAAATATACTCATGGTGTAGGGCCATACCCGACTAGACTTTCCTACTTGTTGAATATTAAACATAGAATTAAACACGTATAAATCTATAAAAGTGGACTTTCTGGTACATTTTCGTTTTCCAATTGGTATTTTAAAACCATAATACACTATAGTGGATAGGGTATTGTGCGTTTTTGCTGATGTTTTTAACACCCTACACCTTAAAGTATACAAATCAGCTCAAAATCACTTTCGGAGTCGATTTAGCTTCGTCCGTACGTCTGCCTGTCTGCCTGTGAGCCCATGTAAACCTTGTGCGCACGCTACAGTTCGAAATTTGATGAAATTTGTCAAAATCGGTCCATTATTTCGTATAGCCACCCTAGCTTTCGTATAGCCCCTATAGCTACCGAATACATATTATTACAGTTTTCTCCATTATTAAAGGCGCTACAGCCGATTTTAATTTTCTGAGCTAAAAATCTATTTTTGATGGAAAATTTAAATGATCACAGATTTCCGATATTTTCTCAATTGAAGCGTTATTTAAGGATTTACAGTAGATTCTAGATAGCAGCATTATTTAAAAGTTCTGCAGCCGATTTTTTTCATTTTAATCCAGTTTTTATTAAAGAAAATCTAAGTTATCATAAATTTTTACTATTTTCTCTATTGGACCGCTATTTAAGAATCTACAACTGATGTTACTGGCAGTGTTACCAATTTGACGTTTTGGAAATGACAATTGCGGGAAAAAATACGTTTTAGCGGTTAGCGGGAAATTTGGCGAAAATGGAGTATTTACAAATGTCTATAGCGTATTCTATATTCCAGTCGTGTAGTCTAGTCTAGTCTTGTCTATAGTCTAGTCTAGTCTAGTCTAGACTAGTCTATATAGTCTAGTCTAGTCTAGTCTAGTCTAGTCTAGTCTAGTCTAGTCTATAGTCTAGTCTATAGTCTAGTCTATAGTCTAGTCTATAGTCTAGTCTATAGTCTAGTCTATAGTCTAGTCTATAGTCTAGTCTATAGTCTAGTCTATAGTCTAGTCTATAGTCTAGTCTATAGTCTAGTCTATAGTCTAGTCTATAGTCTAGTCTATAGTCTAGTCTATAGTCTAGTCTATAGTCTAGTCTATAGTCTAGTCTATAGTCTAGTCTATAGTCTAGTCTATAGTCTAGTCTATAGTCTAGTCTATAGTCTAGTCTATAGTCTAGTCTATAGTCTAGTCTATAGTCTAGTCTATAGTCTAGTCTATAGTCTAGTCTATAGTCTAGTCTATAGTCTAGTCTATAGTCTAGTCTATAGTCTAGTCTATAGTCTAGTCTATAGTCTAGTCTATAGTCTAGTCTATAGTCTAGTCTATAGTCTAGTCTATAGTCTAGTCTATAGTCTAGTCTATAGTCTAGTCTATAGTCTAGTCTATAGTCTAGTCTATAGTCTAGTCTATAGTCTAGTCTATAGTCTAGTCTATAGTCTAGTCTATAGTCTAGTCTATAGTCTAGTCTATAGTCTAGTCTATAGTCTAGTCTATAGTCTAGTCTATAGTCTAGTCTATAGTCTAGTCTATAGTCCTAGTCTATAGTCTAGTCTATAGTCTAGTCTATAGTCCTAGTCTATAGTCTAGTCTATAGTCTAGTCTATAGCCTAGTCTATAGTCTAGTCTATAGCCTAGTCTTAGTCTAGTCTAGCTGTCTATAGTCTAGTCTATAGCCTAGTCTATAGTCTAGTCTATAGCCTAGTCTATAGTCTAGTCTATAGTCCTAGTCTATAGTCTAGTCTATAGTCTAGTCTATAGTCTAGTCTATAGTCTAGTCTATAGTCTAGTCTATAGTCTAGTCTATAGTCTAGTCTATAGTCTAGTCTATAGTCTAGTCTATAGTCTAGTCTATAGTCTAGTCTATAGTCTAGTCTATAGTCTAGTCTATAGTCTAGTCTATAGTCTAGTCTATAGTCTAGTCTATAGTCTAGTCTATAGTCTAGTCTATAGTCTAGTCTATAGTCTAGTCTATAGTCTAGTCTATAGTCTAGTCTATAGTCTAGTCTATAGTCTAGTCTATAGTCTAGTCTATAGTCTAGTCTATAGTCTAGTCTATAGTCTAGTCTATAGTCTAGTCTATAGTCTAGTCCATAGTCTAGTCTATAGTCTAGTCTATAGTCTAGTCTATAGTCTAGTCTATAGTCTAGTCTATAGTCTAGTCTATAGTCTAGTCTATAGTCTGTCTATAGTCTAGTCTATAGTCTAGTCTATAGTCTAGTCTATAGTCTAGTCTATAGTCTAGTCTATAGTCTAGTCTATAGTCTAGTCTATAGTCTAGTCTATAGTATAGTCTAGTCTATAGTCTAGTCTATAGTCTAGTCTATAGTCTAGTCTATAGTCTAGTCTATAGTCTAGTCTATAGTCTAGTCTATAGTCTAGTCTATAGTCTAGTCTATAGTCTAGTCTATAGTCTAGTCTATAGTCTAGTCTATAGTCTAGTCTATAGTCTAGTCTATAGTCTAGTCTATAGTCTAGTCTATAGTCTAGTCTATAGTCTAGTCTATAGTCTGTCTATAGTCTAGTCCATAGTCTAGTCTATAGTCCAGTCTATAGTCTAGTCTTAGTCTAGTCTATAGTCTAGTCTATAGTCTAGTCTATAGTCTAGTCTATAGTTTAGTCTATAGTCTAGTCTATAGTCTAGTCTATAGTCTAGTCTATAGTCTAGTCTATAGTCTAGTCTATAGTCTAGTCTATAGTCTAGTCTATAGTCTAGTCTATAGTCTAGTCTATAGTCTAGTCTATAGTCTAGTCTATAGTGAAGTCTATAGTCTAGTCTATAGTCTAGTCTAT